CTGAAAATAGCGAAAGGCCTCCCAGGAGCCTTAAGATAGTCTGAAAGGGCCCGCAGACGGCCCCGGAGGGCAAACGGAACCCCAGGATGCAGGAGGATGCGAGGCGGGGGGCTGCGTATCCGAGGGGGGACCCCCGTAAAAAAAAGTGAATTCCCTGGGGGTCCATTCCCGTTACCGTTCCCGTTCCAGCTCTTTCTCTCTTTCTCTTTCTCTCTCTCTCTCTCTCTATCTCTCTTTCTCTCTCTCGTTCTCTCTCTCTCTCTCTCGCTCTCTCTCTCTCTCTCTCTCTTTTTTTCTCGCTCTCTCTCTCTCTCTCTCCCCCTCCCGCTCTCTCTCTCTCTCTCTTTTTCTCTCGCGTCCAGGGGGTCCCTGGGACCAAGATCGAAGAACCGCATATCCCCAAATCTTGCAAAAGCCATAAGAACATCAATAATTGCAGGTCCCTTCCACCCTGAAAGGGGGATCAAGAGGGGGGCCCCAGAAAGGCCGCGGACGCTTGGAGGCTTGTTAGGCTCTCCTGGGAGGTCTCGCGGGGGCCTTTTAGAAACATGCTTCAGGTTTCTTGGGGCCCGTTGGGGGCGTCTTGGGTGCGTCAGGGGGGATGTCTTGGGGGTCTCCTGGGAGTTCGCTGGCGGTCTCGGAAGGTATCTGTCAGACGCCTACGGCGAATCATCGCCGTGGGCGAAGGGGATAGGGAGGGGGAGGGGGATTGGGAAGGGGGAAGGGGATTGGGAAGGGGAGAGGGGGGGGGAAGGGGATGGGCAGAGAGAGAGAGAGAGAGAGAGCGAAGGTGAGGTGGGCTGAGAGGGGAAGGGAAGGAGGGGGCAAAGGGGGAGGATGACGACGTTGACGATGTTGACGTTGTTGACGATGGCGATGGCGATGACGATGATGATGATGATGGTGATGATGGTGATGATGATGATGATGACGAGGATCATTAGGATGATGATGATGATGATGATGATGATGATGATGATGATGATGATGATGATGATGATGATGATCATGATGATCATGATGGTGGTGATGCTGATGTGGATGATGATGATGGCGATGATGACGATGATGACGGTGATAATGATGATGCTGATGATGATGACTGATGATGTGGATTATGAAGATGATGATGATTCTGATGAACGTGCTGATTATGATGATAATGATACTGGTATTGATGCTGATGGTGCTGATGACGATGATGATGGTGGTAGTGGTGATGGTGCTCGTGATAGTGATGGTGGTGGTGGTGATGATACTTGATGACTGGTGATGAAAACAATGTTTGATGATGATTACGATCTTGGTGGTTGTTGTAGTGATCATGATGATGATGGTGGTGATGATGCTAATCATGATGACGATGATGATGATGATGATGATGATGATGATGCTGATGATGGTGATGATGGTGATGATGGTGATGATGATGATGATGATGATGATGATGATGATGATGATGATGGTGATGATGCTGATGATGATGCTGGTGATGATGGTGATGTTGATGGCGATGCTAATGCTGATGATGATGATGATGGTGATGAAGATGTTGATGCTGCTGCTGCTGATGATCATGATGACGATGATCCTTCTCCCTCCTCCTCACTCCTCCCTCCTTCTCCCTCCTCCTCACTCCTCCCTCCTCCTCCCTCCCTTTCTCCATCCCTCCCCCCCTCCCTCCTTCTCTCTCCTCCTCCCTCCTCCCTCCCTCCCTCCTTCTCTCTCCTCCTCCCTCCTCCCTCCTCCCTCCCTCTGTCCCTCCCTCCCTCCTCCTCCCTCCTCCCTTCTCCCTCCCTCCCTCCTCCCCTTCTATCCTCTGGAAGTGGCACGGGCGGCGGGAACGGGAACGGGAACGGGAACGGGAACGGGAACGGGAACGGGAACGGGAACGGACCCCTGGGACGTTCGCGCGCCTTTACGGGGACCCCCCCCCCCGGGAGTTGCCCCGGGACCCCCCCCCCCTGGCGGGGAAGGGATCAAGGGAAGGGGCTTCCCTTCGACTGAGGGACGACGTTGTTCAAGTTTTGTGTGGACTTGTATAGGGAGCCCTCGGATAGCGGAAGGGGCGACGACGCTGTAGGGAATACGGAAAAGCCTCTCCCACACGCCGACAGGGTCGGCGGATTTGTTTTGGTGCGTCCATGGACCCCTTCAGAGCCTGCTAACCCAGAGATGGAAAAGCCCGAGTCAGCGATCCTCTCGGTCCTGAAAGCCTTGAGGCGCGAAGATGCCCTCGCTGCAATGCCTGGAGATTTGCTGGAGTTTGGGCCAGGCTCCGACTAGCGCCCCTAACCTTTTCCCCTCTGCAGGGGTCTGCAAGCACCGTGCCCCTTCAAACAAATACGCCAGCAACGCTTGCAAAGGTGAGGAGGCGGGTCGAGGAGTAGGAGGTCGGTCATGGGGGATGGGCGAGAGCACTGCCACGTGCACCCTCGTGTATTTCTTCATGCGCGCCTTCGTGTATGTTTCACCAGCGGTCGTGGCCGTCTGGACCCAGAATTTAACCAGCATTGCGGCGGCGAGGGCACGACTTTTGAACACACCGTGAGGAAGTCTCGGGCGAGGCGGCTGCCGGACCAAAACGTCCTCGGGCGTTCCGTTCCCCTTTTCCTCGGGCTCCCCGTTCCCTCCAGCCCCCACCTGTCCCACATCCGACCTACAGCCTCTGGCATCCAACTCTCCACCTCCACCTCCACCGATCGACCGAGAGTCTCCACGAGCGCACCACTCCGACTTCCAGCTTCCAGCATCCCACTTCCCACCTCCACCTCGACGTCCACCTATCGATCTGCAGCCTCCGCAGCTTACAGCACCAACGGTCCTAAACATCCACTTCCGCACATGAGGGCTACGACCGGCCCGCGCTGGCGTTCTAGGCCTCGCCGCCCCGGCGGACATTGGCGCGCTCTGCTCTGCTCTGTTCTGCTGTGGGACTCTTCTGTGGTCCTCACCTCTACTAGGCCACGTATTGGGGAACAACTTCTCCCTGTGTTCTCTCGCGACTCGCCGCGCGACTATGTCTTGTTCCTCCTCCTCCTCCTTCTCCTCCTTCTCCTCCTCCTCCTCCTCCTTCTCCTCCTCCTCCTACTCCTACTCCTCCCCCTTTCTGTTCCGACCTTCACAGATCGCGAGGCTTGTACGCCTCTGGCTCGTCGGCGGGCCTGCTGCGCTGGTCTGCAGGCTACGTTGGTTGCCTGCGCACCCCCGGCAGCAGCTCCCTTGTGGAGCTCTTTCGCGGACTCATCCGCATCCGTATCCGGATCCTCCTCCCCTCCTTCCCTTCCCCCTCCTCGTCCTCCTCCTCTTCCTCCTCCTCCTCATTATCATCCTTCCCTCTCTCCCTCCTCCTCCTCTTCTCCCTCTGCTCCCCCGGCCCCGGGCCGAGGCCGGGGCTGCCCGCCCGCCCCCGCCGCCGCAGCCGCGGGCAGAGGCCTGCGAGGGGGCGGGGGGGGGGCCTGAGGGCACTTCGGGCCGAGGGCGGAGGGTGGAGGAGGAGGAGGAGGAGGAGGAGGAGGAGGAGGAGGAGGAGAAGGAGGAGGAGGAGGAGGAGGAGGAGGAGTAGGAGGAGGAGGAAGAGTAAGAGGAGGAGGAGGGGAGGAGGAGGAGGAGGAGGAGGAGGAGGAGGAGGAGGAGGAGGAGGAGGAGGGTGTGTGTGTGTGTTGAGATGGGAGGCTCAGGGGGCAGCATTCGGGGGGATGATAGGCTCGGGATTGAGGTTGTCGGGCATTTTCGTCCATCCTCGGCGGCTTTTCAGCCTCGGGATGCCCTCCAGCAGCTGCGCCTCGCCGAGAGCGTTCCGGGTGTGCCAGGATCGTCCCGAACGGCCGCCGGGGACCAGTGTTCCGACCCGAACACGAACTTCGGGAAGGGTAGGCTCAGGGGGGGATGCGTCGACCCCGACTGGCCAACAGGGGCCTGATATCCCACCCCGCCCAGGACCATTCGGACTTGCTATCTGGGGGCCTGTCGCCGATCTATCGGCGATGTATCGCCGATTCAAGCTCGATGTTTCCCTCCCTGAGCTGGCCCCCCCCGCCCCCTAAGGTTGCCCTTCAGGGGAGGGGGAGGCGGATGGGTAGCTCAGGGAGGAGGAGATACCGATGCCGCTGCCGTTCCCTCGTCGCGACGGCTGGATTTGCCTCGAGGTTCTTCTAGTCAGAGCGCACCCCTGGATAGGTCTGGGGAGTAATTAGCGGAATCGGTACCTCTTTTCTGCGACCACTTGCGAACCTTCTCCCCGCGGGTCCAATCGACGTTTGAGTGTCGGACACCCCCTCTGGGGTTCACCTGGCTACATACATTCTTCAACCTCTGACCCCCAGAGAGTTTTTCATAATCTGACCTGTAGGTGTAGGGTTCACATATGGCTGATGATCTTCGCTTCCTCAGAGGAGGACGAGCTAGAGGAGGAGAGAGGGGATGCGGACGAGTAGGGTGAGTGCGAGGAGGATGATGATGATGATGATGATGATGATGATGATGATGATGATGATGATGATGATGATGATGATGATGATGATGATGATGATGATGATGATGATGATGATGAGGAGGAGGAGGAGGAGGAGGAGGAGGAGGAGGAGGTGAAGCAGGAGGGGTGCCAGGATAATGAGAAGTTTGAGGACGAGAAGGGAGGAGGACGATGAGGTGGTACAGGAGGTGCATGTGATGATGAGGAGCCTATGCATGTCCTGCTGCGCATCCACGAGAAGCCGCACGAACGATTGATACCCGCACCGCACTGCACCGCGAATGGTGTATGATCCTCATACCGGCGAATCTTGCACGGCAGGGGCACGCAGGACACACCCGGACTTAGAAGATTTTTCTCCCAAAGAGGGGCTTCCGGACGACAGCTGTACCTCCTACAAGGCAGGCGATGAGCGCCGATGTGAGGTTCGCGCCCACGGTCATACTACTTCGTGTGATTGTTCCTTTCATGCTCACTGGGGCCCTCACGTTGTCCAGGCGGTTCCTTCAGGGAGTTTGCTGCTTTGCCTTCCGACAGCAGCACTGGCGCGAGGAGCACGAGCCAGTTGGCCCGTCAGAGTGCTGAGTGTGTCAGATGTTGATGTGTATCCGGCTTTTTGTATTTCATCGGAGCCTTGCTTCCCAGCGTGTGACCTTTACTTGTGGATTTCGTTCGCTCAATTTTCTGGACAAGTATTCGTATGAACATGCCGGTAGATGCAATATGTTTGTTCATGACGCACGAAGTGCTTCGTTAAAGGCGGCATGACATCCGTCCCGCATATAAGTAGTGTCCGACAATCAGGAGGTGGCGATGGGGCGGCGATGGCGACCACATAGCCGTCAGGCCTAAGACACGGCCCAGACGACGGGCGGCGACGAGGCGGCGGCGGGGCGGCGACGAGGCGGCCACATAGCTGCCAGACCGAAGACACGGCCCAGTTTTTTAGGATAGAAAAAAGAACCCCTAAGTGTGAGCACTGTTTGGGCAATCGCCATGGAATTAACCCATGTTTTAAACATGCCAACTCGTATATTTTCTGCGTGACGAACTCGAGTAGAGTCGCATGTTCTTGTCCGCTTTGCGTTGCCACGTGATCAGGAGCGTTTCGCCCCCCTGCGTTGCCACGTGCCGAACAGACTAGAATTGTGTTCGACTAAGCTCCTTGCGTTGCCACGTGACGGATATAATGGACATGCACGTGTTTCGTCCCTTGGCGGTGCCACGCGGTGATCATAGTGGACTCGCATTGTTCCCGCTCGGAGCTAAAGTAGTATAGTTTCTGCTCTCCCCCCTGCGTTGCCATGTGACGGATGTACATTCGTTTCGCCCTTTCTGGCTGCCACGTGGCGAGCAGAGTGGATGTTGTTTTCTTGTTTTTTTCGTGTTCCCCCGCATTGCCACGTGACGAAGAGAGCAGACTAGTATTTTCTCGGCTCCTTTTCGCTGCCACGCGAGGAGGAAGTGTGATAATTCTTTTCGCCTTCCTGGTTTGCTACGTGCCGAATATCTTAGAATTGTATTTTGGTGCTCCCCCCACCTCCTGTGTTGCCACGCGGCGGATACTGCGTGTCAGAACTGGATTGCATTCGCCGCTCCCCTGCTTTGCCACGTGACGAACAGGAGAAGACTAGCATTTTCTCAGCCGATTTGCGTTGCCGCGTGACTCATAGCGCAGAATTGTATTTGTTTCGCCCTTTCACGCTGCCACGTGGCGACGACAGTGGAACGTTTTTGTCTGTCCCCCTGCGCTGCCACGTGACGAGTAGACTCGCGTTTTTTCAGGCCCCGCTTACATCGCCACGCGGCGAGCAAAGTGGAAGAATAGTCAGAGTGAGGGGGCCGAACATTCATTCACTGTCCCTGGGCGCGTGGCTGAATTGTGTTTCTGCGGTGTTGATTGTTGTTGTTGTTGTTGCTGCTGCTGCTGCTGTTATTGATATTTTTCCCGGAAAGGGCCTGAGCCCAGGGTTCTCTTTTAGTTGGTTTCCCCCCGGTTTTGACGGCTGTAGGGCCGGCGAACTTCTTTTGCGATAAATAACGAGGTCGCGTAGGGCCGGCGAATTAAAAATTGAGGATGTCCCTAGCGAAACGCTTGTTTTTCAGAATTTGTTGAGGATGTCTCGAGCGAAACGCTAGTTTTGCAGAGTTGGGGATGTCTCGAGCGAAACGCTTGTTTTCAGAATTTGTTGAGGATGTCTCGAGCGAAACGCTGGTTTTGCAGAGCCGACCGCGACGCGGAAAAGCGCCCCGCGCGCAGGAATTCCGATGATGTTTCGCGCGTGCCGCGTCCCGCGCGCAGGAATTTCGACGATGTCTCGACTAATTCGTTCGTTTTGCTAGGATTTCCTTGAATTTTGGCAGGATGTCTCGAGCGAAATGCTTGTCTTTCATAATTTGTTGAAGACGTTTCGAGCGAACCGCTGGTTTTGCAAAATTGGGGGATGTCTCCAGTGGGGGCCTCGTGGGGGGCCTCGTGGGGGTCCAGAATTCAGAGGATGTCTCAGGCGAAATGCTTGTTTTCACGTCCCGCTTGTAAGAATTTCGAGGATGTCTCGCGCGTCCGCGCCCCGCGCGCAGGAATTCTGAGGATGCTGGCAGGATGTCTCGAGCGAAACGCTGGTCCCGTTCCGTAGCGCGTCCCCTTGGCACGTCCCGCGGTGCGTGCCCATGGCACGTCCCCTGGCACGTCGCTTGGCGCGTCCCTTGGGACGTTCCGAGGCGCGTCCTCCTGGCATGTCCCCTCTGTCTATTAGCTCTGGGGCAGCTACTATGTGTTCAGGCAGCTCGAGCTTAAGATTCAGATCAGGACTCGGATGCAAAGGAGGACTCGATCCACGAGGCTATAGAGCACAATCGCGGCATGGCACATCGCAAGTCAGCACGGCGCAGCACAGCACAGACTTCGGCACAGTACATCAAGATCGATAGACTCAGCATTGCAACTTGGCACGTTCCTTGGCACGTTCCGTGGGGCGTCCCTTGGCGAGTCCCCCTGGCACGTCGCGTGGCGCGTCCCCTGGCACATCCCGTGGCACATCCATTGGCACGTTCCGTAGCGCGTCCGCTTGGCACGTCCCGCGGTGCGTGCCCATGGCACGTCCCCTGGCACGTCGCTTGGCGCGTCCCTTGGGACGTTCCGCGGCGCGTCCTCCTGGCATGTCCCCCTGTCGATTGGTTCTGGGGCAGCTACCATCTGCTCAGTCAGCTCGAGCTTAAGATCCAGATCAGTTCGGTCAGGACTCGGATGCAACGAGGACTCGATCCACAACGCTATCTAGAGCACAATCGCGGCATGGCACATCGCAGTTCAGCACGGCGCAGCACAGCACAGATTTCGGCATGGTACATCAAGATCGATACACTCAGCATTGCAACTTGGCACGTTCCGTGGGGCGTCCCTTGGCGAGTCCCCCTGGCACGTCGCGTGGCGCGTCCCCTGGCACGTCCCGCGGCACGTCCATTGGCACGTTCCGTAGCGCGTCCGCTTGGCACGTCACGCGGTGCGTGCCCATGGCACGTCCCCTGGCACGTCGCTTGGCGTGTCCTTTGGGATGTTCCGCGGCGCGTCCTCCTGGCATGTCCCCCTGTCGATTGGTTCTGGGGCAGCTACCATCTGCTCAGTCAGCTCGAGCTTAAGATCCAGATCAGTTCGGTCAGGACTCGGATGCAACGAGGACTCGATCCACAACGCTATCTAGAGCACAATCGCGGCATGGCACATCGCAGTTCAGCACGGCGCAGCACAGCACAGATTTCGGCATGGTACATCAAGATCGATACACTCAGCATTGCAACTTGGCACGTTTCCTGGGGCGTCCCTTGGCGTGTCCCCCTGGCACGTCGCGTGGCGCGCCCCCTGGCACGTCCCGCGGCACGTCCATTGGCACGTGCCGTAGCGCGTCCGCTTGGCATGTCACGCGGTGCGTGCCCATGGCACGTCCCCTGGCACGTCGCTT